CTGGCGATCACAGACCTGTACCCCTGGGGCTAAAAATACATTATATGTTTATTAAAAAAAAAAAAAAAGACCAGACTTTCTGGGCTGACCACTTAACCTAAGTAGCCTCCCCAATCACTCTCTAGCACAGAAGCCCATTGTATTTTTTTTTTTATTTTATAGCAGCTATTACTACTTAATTTTCTTATTTGTTCGTTGTTTAACTAGCTTCACTATGTTTTAAGTTCCATGAGAACTGGAATACATTTGTCTTTTTCAGAGCTGTGTCCTCATTTTCTAGAACAGTGCCTGGCACATGGTGGGTGCTCATTAAATGGTGGTTGGATAAATACAGTAACAAAATATATATTCTTTCATGGAAGAACCCTATGTTGATTTTCTTGGGATCTCTACAATTCTGAACACGTTAGCTTAAATATAGTTGGAGCTCAATAACATTACAGACTGAATTCATACACCTTATAAGATAGTAAAGCAGTGAAAAATGAACAGTGTTAGCCTCAGAATCCCTCGTAAAGTGGGGTGCTGTTTTATATAATGTCAATGAATATATAATAACTATTTTCACAAGCATTAAGCCAAACGCTAACATTGACTTTACACAAGGTACTTTAAATTGTACTAATTTAATTTTTTGAGTAATCATGTGTATTATTATTTTTGACACATTTGTTAACTATATTCAAATTTTTATTCATTGTTATGCAGTTAGTAAGAGCAAGAACTGGGATTTGGGGGCACTTGGTTGGCTCAATTGGTAGAGTATGCCACTTTTGATCTGGGGTTGTGAGTTTGAGCCCCACCTTGAGTGTAGAGATTATTTAAAAGTAAATAAATAAATAATCAAACAAACTTAAAAAAATAAGGAACTGAGATATGGCCCAATGGCCCAAATTGCCCTATTTCAATGCATACATATAAATAATATTATAAAAATCTTTGGAAATTAAAAAAATGTATTTCTGAAAATAGCTATTACTTTGAACTGATGGTGTGATTTTCATATTTTACCTGTTAGTTTTTATTTTTTTTTTCTTAAGGGTAGAATGGACTTTTCCCCCTTAACTACTGATTTCAAAAATCACATAAAAGTAATAGCCATCTGCTCCTTTCCTATTAGCACTCCCATTCTTGGGCAAGTCTGAATGGACACCCTCATGAATGTGTGTTCCATGATGTGTCCATTTTTAGAACAGAATTTTATGATCTCACATTTCTCAAAATGACTTTAATGTGGTTTTCAAGTAAGTATTCATTTTCTTTTTTAATGGCAGTGTGAGGTAATATTTTTAAGGGATAAATGACAGTGTGGAGAAATACTTACTTTTGTTGTATATCACATGTTCAGTGTCTAATTTGTACATTTTAGGGCCTTGGTACAGGACTGACAACTCTGGCAGGACGCTCCAGACCCTACAATCACCGCAGGGCATACCCTTCGATCCTATAGCTTCAGCACTTGGAATTGGGCCTTGGGTTGTGCATGTCAAAGGCTCCTGACCACTTGGCCCACATGCTCTTTTTGCCTTTTCAACTTTTTAAGACTTTTTGAACTGTCATTGAAAAGTCAGGAGATTTCACACATGAACACACACATACACACACACACACACTCCTATCTGATTTCTCTTGAAAGATTAAAATATTCGGCAATAATGGCTCACATTCTGCATGGTAATAATTGACAAGAACTGAATCACAGCCACCCCCTTTGGATGGAGCTTGCACTCTCTCCTATTTGCCACAGTGGGGAATCCCTATAGATTTGAGTTTGAGACTCCTTGGAGTCACTAGAATTTATTGGCAAACCTTCATGGCCACCCTTTCTAACTTGACTGCCCTTAAAATAGTATAACAAAATGAAGTGATGATTTTACTGCTGCTCTACCATTCCTACATCATCTGGACAGGCTCATTTCATTATTCTGCTGTCTGGTTCTCAATCTTGGATTCATGTTCAAATCACCTGGAAAAATTTTATGATACTTGAACCCAACATTGGAGATTCTGATGGAGTCCAGGCAACAGTTTTATAAAAATCTCCTCTTGTGTTTGAAATGTGCTAGCTGGGTTAAGAACTGCTTCTCTAGTTGGTGTTTTGCATGAATTTTATTTTATTGAGTAATTTGCCCAACCAAAACAATGGCAAATTCTGGTGTGCAAACAAATGAAACAAAAAGGGTATAATTGTCATAAGAAATAGCAGATCAAAGAATGAGCTGGTAAGCGAATGGACTCTAAGAAATAAGATGGAAACCTGTATCCTCTTGCCCTATAGCAGCCTTGAAATCTGTAAGATTTCTCAGCTGACCCGAGATCTTTGGGATTGTCTTTGACTGACAGTAGAATGAAGAGCTCTTGATGGTACTAAGAAATCTAGTTGCTTCTCTCTGAGCATGAACTTTTTTTATACATTGTACAAATATATAAATCCCACATTTAGAGTGAAGTGTGCGGAAGGAATGAGGGTTTTCCCGTAAATTGTCAGTTCCCCAAATATTTTAAGCTATATATAGGTTATAGATTTTATTTATGAATTTTTAGCTCTTTGCCATTGTCAATAGTGAAGATTCTGTGAAAACTAGGTGCTTGTGAATAGATGTTAATTTTCATGGCTGATATTTATTATTATGGATTAAAATCTACTTTGAATTAATTTCTTTTAGTTACTATATGAACCTACATTAAGTCAGTATATGCTAATCTATGGCTCAACTATTAAATAATTACATATTAAATTAATTTTGTATTCTAAATCTAGTCTCTGGAAAATATAATTGACCCATCCTGATATGCAGTAAGCTTCTAATTGAAAACTATAATTCATGTTAATATTAGTAATATTTCCATCACAAATATGATTTTATTAAATAAAGCAGTCAAAAGTAATTTCAACCCCAACCTTATTTCTCTATCGAAGTAAATGTCTTAGGAAACCCGGTTTTTGCATTTATTAATTTTTATGTTAAAGAAATTTTATACTTATGTTACATTATAGTGTAATATATGTTACTTATAATAACATAGTCCTATTATAAACTTTAACTTTGCCCTTAAATTATACCTTTACAATTTAGCTGTGCCTTAATAATTATATGTTGAATTATATATATTTGAAATTCATATAATTTTAGAATTTTATAATTCATATTTTCTGCTTAGACTGGCTTGGCTCAATTATTTCAGTTTGCTGAAGTTTTATTATGTTTATTTATTAATCAATGCATAAATCACTATTTGAAGAGGATTTCACCTGCCTTCAAAGAGGATAAGATCAAAAAACCATAGAAAAATAGATATATAGGTCTATCAAGCAGTGAATTAATAAAAATATGATGTTATTTTCTTGGATTTTGTGATGTTCATGAAATGTCAGCTTTTTTTATTTTTTAAGATTTTATTTTTATCTAATCTCTACACCCAATGTGGGGCTTCAACTCACAACCTCAAGATTAAGAGCCACATGTTCCACCATAAACTGAGCCAGACATGTGCCCAGAAAGTCAGCTTTTGAAAATTTGCAGTTTGTTGTGATTTTCTTTTTTATTCTAAATAAATATTCGTACCCAATTTTGTATGTGTAATTTTGTATTCTTTTTCTAATGAGATCACTTCCCCAATCTCCTCCTGTGCTGGCCCCCCCTACTCCGCCACCCCATAGGTAAGCCTCAGGCCCTACACAACCTAAATCTACTTCTACCTATGGTCAAATATTTTATTCACTACATGTTGCAGTACATGTCACTTAAAGAGCTTGAGGCTCTGAGGCTCAAATCTGAGCGAGTTGTTCAACCAGCTAAAAAAGAATTTCACAACACTATCCTGCATGTACAACCTACCCCCACATGCATCTCTTACCACGTGCACATTGTGGGAGATGCAGTTGAATCACAGTATCACTTGCTAATATCATTACACATTTTATAGCCATCTTAATGTACAAAACTGGCATTATTAAGCAAAATAAAAATGAAGTTGTCACAATGTGACTTGCAGGAATTATTCCATTCTTTTTAAGTTGTTAGCAAACCACATGGTACCTGTTACGGAATTTTTCAAGCTGTGATATCTGGAGTGTTTATCAATATTTAGAATCTGTATTCTATTTATTTAGTAAATGAAAAAAAGACAGCAAACCATAGATCTAGAAATCTAAAAACACTATAATATAGAGGAGAATAGGTAGGCAATTTTATTTGTAACTTTTGGACATATATTTACATTTACATATTTGTTCTTTGACCCCTCATTGTTTGGCTACTTTTTGATTGTCTTTTCATGTGGTAATAGTTTTGCAATGTCTTTCCAACAAAAGAATGTAAAGATAGTTGTCTCTAGCATGGTTAATTAAAATTTAGTTTGGTAATGCTATGTAAATTTTTAGAATTATCAAATTTGGGGAAACTTTCATAAGTTCCTTTCATATATGAGCTGTGAGATTTGGAAGAATTTCCACAGACTAACTTTTGGGCTGCCTATATTTCACATCTTGTTTTTCCTCCATTCCCACATACTTGTGTGCTGAGGGCTATAGGACATGTATGACAGAGGGGAAGAGGGAGTGGAAAGATCCAGAACTAATGACAACTAAAATGTCTTGTGCTAATTCTACAAAAACTTAAGACCATAGGGACACATTTCCAGGGCCCCTCCCACCATCTTAGAAGAGATCTGGGCAAGTGACCAAACTTAATTTTCTTTTCCTTATTGTAAAATTAGCATCTAGCCATGGAAATCAAATATAAAATCATCTCAAAATTCTAGACCCAAACATGAAATTTAATTCAGTAAAAGTAAAATCAAATAGTTCAAGAATTAACTTCACAAACACAAGTGAAAAGTCATATGGTAATGGGTCAGGGGTTTTAGGCAGACCTTCATTTTCTTCCCAACGAATGGTGTGATGCAAACATAGAAATGGCTAGCAAAATAATAAGGCAGATTAATAGAAATAGTTTCCAGATCACGAGACCTAATAATCCCTTAAAAAGCTGCCCTGGTCAGAAGGCAGCTGCAATGTTAGGTTTGCTTCTGATGCCATAATTTAGGAGGCATAGTGTCTGATTGGATTGTGTCCAGAGTAGGGTATTCTGGTGAAGACAGTTGGAATTCATGGCACCAAATGGGTGGTTACTGAACCTAAGGAGGTCCGAGGAATACTTGAGGGAACAAGGTGGTACCTTCACGTACTGAGATGCTGTCCTGCAGAAGAGAGTTTCATACAAAAGTTGTTCTCAATTGCCCAAGTGAGCCAGGGAGTGTGCCAATCTGGATTCCATTTCAATGTAAGAAATTATAGGTGCTTGCCACGGACTTGGCCCTCCCTTGAATATATGAAAGAACTAAAGTATGAAAAAAGCGACAACATACTTGTGTGGAAGAAGGGATTGTGTGATAACAACACTTATGCAGCACACCTTGCCAGCGATTGGTCTAAACTCTCTAAAAGGGAAAGAGCAGGAATAGATACCCCCCTCCCCTGGCTCCTTTCTCTAATATTTGCTGGTTCTGAGGAAGTTATTTTAAAGAACCATTGCTTTGTCGGATGACTTAAGACATTGCTATTTTCTCCCTTGTAACTCCATTTTCATGCCTGTGCAGATTTCTGATTGAAATGACCCCCCCCTTATACTTTCAAAATGTTATAATTTCAAGTCTATTTTTAGGGAGGGGAGGGCTGGAATTCCTGTAATTTTTGCATCATGAATCTTGGTTTAAATTTTTTGTGTAATGAGTAAGAGTGTAGATTCTGAAACCAGACTACACTTTTTGCATATTTGTTTCCTCATCTATACAATGGAGATCATGATAGGACCATTTCATAAGACTGTTTTGAGGATAAAATTACTTATTCCATGTAAAGCATTTAGAGTGGTGCTGAGTACGTAGGAAGCATTTCATAATTTGTTTTAAGTTCTTCAAGTTCTACTTGCCTCCAGGAGTTGTCAGTGACATCACCTGCTTTTGTTTTTTCTATTCATTCATTCATTCCACACATACTCATTTTGAGTGCCTAACATGGACCAATACTGTGTTAAGAGATGAGGATTTAGTTGTGGACATGGCAGACAGAGTCTCTGACTTCGTGGAATTCATAATCCAGCAGGTTTTTACGTACCCAATATCAAATCCAGGGAAAGATACTTGTCAGTAGCTCAGCGAGCAACTTACCTATAATGCTTATTAAGGATAATGGAGAGCAGTCCCACAACTAATCCTACTGAAAGCTTCAGCCTTTATGGTCTTAAATTTTACTAAAATTACTAAAGTTGTGTGTATGTGTGTGGATATGCATGTATGTATGTGTGTGTGCGTGTGTGTATGTAGATGTGCATCTTGTTTAAGAAAGTTTTTAATTGTGAGACTGATTGAAAGCCAGCAGAAATCAAATATGACTACCCAATCTCTCTGTGACCATCCTCTCTCTCTGGTTATTATTATTGTTGTCACAGCTATCATTCTCTTACTGGTAGGTGAAAATTTTCTGAGAAAGTGGAAAGTGGGAGGCTTGGGTTCTGTAACTTTCTCCTTGTTGATGAAGTTCTACCAGAGGATATACTGTTAATTATAAGCAATCAAATGAACCACTGTGATCTATCAGCAGTGAAAGATATGTGAGTAATAATGGGAACATCAGGCTTTATAGCTTCTTGGTTAACCAAAGTCTTTAGCAAGCTCTCCAAGGGCAATCTCCTTTTCTGTAGAGACCGGATCCTTTCCCAGACTTTAAAACACGGTGGAGTCTTTAAACTATTATTGTCACGTTAAGGGATTTTGAGGTCTTCCCAAAAAAATGTTACATGCTGTTAATTGAACTGTCTTCTGTTAACACTTTAAGTAGAATAAATAGACTTATGTTCCTGGGATTTGAGCTTGGAATTTCTTGGACTTGTGTAAATGAGAGTGAGAGTAACTAGTCAGATCTTAGAGTCACTTCCTTTGTATTCCGAGTTCAAATTGGAAGCTCAGTTTCTAACACGCCTTGGCAAGTCTTTCTTCTCTGCAATTAACACATTCAGTTTAATACCAGTTAATCAAATGTCGTATTTTATGCTATTAACTTTGCTTTGCTACATACCATGAACATGTGTGTTTAACATTAAATTTGAATTAAAGTGTTACTTCTGAAGGGGTTTTTCCCTCTTTTTTCCTCCTTTTTTTGAGTGAAACCATGACTTTGTGGCAAAACTACTAAGACAAACCTGTGATTTTCATTAAAAGTTTTAGTGACAAACATTCTTTCCTAATTATAAGTATAGAGTGAGTGGGTCCAAGAATTTGTGTACCAATTTCAAAATGTCAGCTACACCCTTGTTTTTATCTGTTTGCTCAAGCCAGTTGGATTCTTTAAGATCTTGAAAGAAGCACATTTCCTTTTGATTAGTAACAGTATATCAGACTTGTTAAATGCAGTCAATCAAGCAAGTGCACCCAATGCAGATGCCCATTCCGGGGCACTAATGTATCTATGACGGATTTTTAAAATAAAATTCTCTATTTAAAATTTATGTCAGATAAATTTTTACCATTGCAGCCATTTTTAAGTATGCATTTCAGGGGCATTAATTACAGTCACCTTGTGCATTCCAACATCACCATCCACCTGTAGAACCTTTACTGAAACTCCAAACCTATGAAAGAGTGACCCCTCCCCCTTTTCACTTCTCCTGGCCCCTGGAAACTACCATTCTATTTTCTGTCTTTATGAATTTCACTAAGTACTTCATTTAACTGGAATCTTACCATTACTTATCCTTTTATGTCTGATTTATTTCACTTAGCATAATGTCTTCAAGTTCATGCATGTTGTATTATGTGTCAGAAGTCCCTTCCTTTTTAGGACTGAATAATGTTCCATCATAAATATAGACTAGATATTTTGGCTATTTCAAATAGTGCTGCTCTGAACATGGGTGTACAGATATTTGCTCAGTTCCCTGCTTTCAGTTCCTGGGGGTATGTACTCAAAAGAGGAATTGTTGAGTCCTATGGTAATCTTACTTTTAATTTTTCAAGGACCCATAGCATCTGCACTATTTTTTACATTTTGACCAACAGTGTACAGGGTTCCAATTTCTCCTCATCCTCACCAACACTTGTATTTTTTTTTAAATAGCCATTTTAATGGGTACATAGGAAGCTTCTAGAAACATTATGTATCTGGGCTCCTGGTGGCTCAGTCGGTTAAGCATCAGCCTTTGGCTCAGGCCCTGATCTCAGGGTCCCGCATCGGGCTCCCTGCTTTGCGGGGTGTCTGCTTCTCCATCTGCCTTTCCCCCTGCTCGTGCTCACTCTCGCTTTCTCTTGCTCTCTCAAATAAATAATAAATAAAATCTTTTAAAAAAAATAAAAACATTATGGATAAACTGTGGGCTTTTAACGTGGATGCAAAAGATACAAAATTAAATATTTTGCCCTGGATATAGGCCAAAACATTGTATTTCCTTAATTATTTATCCCTGTTGTAAAGTTAGCTTCAAATATACTATTTCAGTAAATAACACATCTTACGTGTAATAAACTAGTAGATATATTGAATAAAAATGTCTAACAAGTGGAGGAAACAAAAAGAAAAGATGGACAGTAGAAGACCTCCAAACTGAACTAGAAACTCTTCCCAATGCTATTTGAAATGCACCAATTAATGGTTAGGGTGTTGGTGTACTTTCCAAAACACATAAGATATGCTATGATGATGCTACTTTGTAATATATTAGAAAAAAGGAGAAAAAGCACTTGATAACACACTTGTTTTTGATAACACACTAATTCAGAACATATACAGCAATGTTTGTTTTTTATGAGTTATGGTTAAAGCTCTGTAGCTTGGGCTTTACAAATGCATTCAGTATATGACAACACATTCCTATGTTTATGCCCCTTTCTCCCGCAGGGTTTTCACTGTTTTCAAGGTTCATTCCCCTGACCTGAACTCCCAGTCTTGCCCTGGTAGAAAGTGGATTACTTCATTAGCAATCCAGAAGTGCCAGGTGAAAATCTATCTAACATCTACCTCTCTGGAACAAATATGCCCAGGTTACTGGTCATATACACATGTGGTATCATTTTTCCATTATTTGGAACATACAGAACTAAATTAATAACAGTTCTTACAAGACCCTGGGGGTTTGTGTAAAAGAATTTTGATCTCCTTAGGAAGGGCTCTCCGGTACTCTCAGGAGAGATGCACTTGACTTTTGACCTCTTTTCAAAGGCACCTGTGTGAGCTTTTAAAATCCACTACCACCAATTATCCACTTTCAACCTGAAGTGTTTAAACCTAGGGCCACATTAACTGAGCTTAGCACATAGCCATGTCATTGCAGACTTCCTGATGTGAGGCGATGTCTTGACATAGTTAAAAGGGAGTTAAGGGATGGGGCATGAGATGAATCAGGTTCTCCTACTGACAGCTTCAAACAAAGAAGCCTTTTAGCCACCTGGTGTGTGTCTCTCACACCTGCATTCAGATTGCTGGGACAAAGCTTTATACCACTGCCTTGATCCCATTCTTTTCAGGTACTTGTTTGTGGCTATGCTGCTTCCCTTAATGGCTCTTTCGAAAAGACAGTGTAGAAGATGCAAATCAACAGCTTTCTCTTCCAGGAAGAACAGTGCCAGGCGATTCGTAGCCACACTGAGAAAGTCGGTTCCTAATGGACTTACGAAATCCTTTGTGTACTTCTTGAAAACTCCTGGAAAGGAGGCCACAGTTCATGGGATATTGGAGTTACATACCTAATTATTTCTTCTGCTGTCACTTTCTTGGAAATGTAAACCAGGGCAAATACAGAATTCCTTCCCTTTGCTTCACAACATTGTCAGTTGGCTTCTTTGGCAGGCAATGTGGATTTGATTGTAGTGTCTGGGCTTATTAAATTTAGTATTTTCATTTTGCACTCCTGGTGCCGAGGACCTCAGTTTCGTAGTACTAAGTTATCCCAGCATGCCAGGAGGGGAACTGTGAAACTGAGACTCCAGTGGACGAGCAGAGCCCTTCAGACGTCCCATGCCATGGAGTTTCCACGACGGCCGGTGCCTGTATTGTTTGCCCTAACCAAGTAATGCAGAAATATTAGAGGCCTCGTTGAATTCATATTCTATGCCTGGTTTAAATCACTGATGTTGTAAGATCTGGCCATGGACTAAAATAAAATTCCAAATGTTTTCTGGTTCTAGTTTTTGATATATATATATATTTTTTTTTCAAATGAAAAGTAAAACCATACAGAATCTCTTGATTGCACAATGGAGCACAGCTCCAGGGCCATGCTAATAATTCATCCCAGTTTAGCCTAACAGAGTTATGCAAGGGCTATTTCAAATACACTCATCCAAGCCATCTGATCTTGAGGTTCAAGAGTCATTTTGCTTAAGAGAGGGGACTCTCCTCTCCAGTGTGTGTTTGGCAGGTAAGACAACCTGCTACTCTCCTACAGAGAACTAGATCTCTTTACATTTCTTCTTTCACTTGTTTTAACTGCTTCCATTGCCCTAATAGCTATCTGGTGCCGTATCAATGCTAACTCTGGTATCAATAATAACAACAGCGACAATAGCAACAGAAACAGTAACAGCAAAGAATATGTGTCAATGTGTACGACACCATGTTAAGAATTTTATGTATTTCCTCTCATCCATGTCTCTAAGTAACCCTTTGAGAGAGAGACAACACCCAGTTTAATGATGAGGAAATAGTCTCAGAGAAGAAAGTAACTTGCCCCCAAGTCATACACGTCTTACGTGGGAGAGCCAGGATTTGGACCCTGGCTCTCTGATTCTAGAATCTATGCTCTTTGAGTACTACTTAAAGAGTCCCACATCTGTGCTAGTTCTTGGGAGAGAGAGCTAGCCTATCTACATTTCACATAAAAGAAAGGCACAGAACAAGGGAAAACTGCCCACAGATGGATGTGTGGGAGCTTGGAGTATCATTTTCTAGTCTCGATTTTTTTCTTTAATAGTGAGGAGATTATATAAAGTGAGGAAAGAGGGATGTGATATTTCCCCACCACACAGATACCTTTGATAATAATGAAGAATTCCTTTCTAATACAGGGTATTCATTTCCTTTCTATTGATTTTGGTAACACATTTTTTTTATAAACTTTTATTGGAGCATAGGTGAAATTATGAAAATGTTGATAATAACTAGTGTTTATCACATAATTGAGTGAGTGATCTATCTTGACCCATAGATAACATCTCCCATCTTAGTCATTGTGAGGAGTTTCTGCACAGTCCATGAAGGCTGTTGAGGAAGAAATAGGTTTGGTGTTTGTGTATCAATGTCAATCTGTTTTCAGTCTTCAGGCCTGGACTCATCACCTTCTGCCTCTGTCTCATGAAGGAAGCATAGTGGAGAAAGGAACAGTCAGGAGCAAACACACGTACCTGCTTTGCAGATACCCAGCCCTATGAGTCATTTAGTGGACTGCCTTGTGACACACTCTTTGTGGTGAAGTTTCTATGCAGACACAAATGAGCATCCAATGGTCACTAGAGAGGTGCCCAAGAGGGGCACATACCAGTGTTACCGAAGTGATGCCTCAGGAAGCCAGAGGAGCAAAGAGGCAGATGTCACTACTTTTGCCGTCCCAGGGTTGGGACAGCCATCCCATTTGTTGGCCCAGCTCCTCCTTTGCCTCCCAAGCTCACCTCCGACAGTAGAGTAATGCACCACCAAGAAAGGATTTTATGAATCAGAGCTGGAAAGACCTCTAGATTCAGTCCTCCATTCCTCTGTCAAGCCTGAAACAGCCTCCCACTCCCTGAACCCTTTCTAGGTTTTCCTCAACTTAAAATGCCTTGAGCCCAAATTGTCCTTTCTTACTTTTATCCTATTACTTCTAGTTATAACCTCCTTTGTCATGCCAATTGATTCCCCCCATCCTTTGCAGACAATTTTTCATCTTTAGTTCTTTCTATGATTTCATTCTTTTATTCCCCCCTCACCCCCACCACCCACACTTTCTTGCTATCCAGTAATTCTTTTTGACTTGCTCTGGACTATATACACCGCGCACCTTTCTCACTGTGAGGTCCCCAAAGTTTGAGTGGTTCCTCCTGGGTGTGGTCTTGCTCTGGGCTGGGTAAGGAAGCCGGTATTATCTCTCTTTTTAATATGGGCTACTTTTGCCTGAACCTTCAACAAGTGGTATATGCGTTTACTTTGGCTATAAGATTGCCATTATAGAGAAAATTCTTATTTGATTCTTTGTACAGTCATCTGCGCCTGGGCACATGCTGTTTTTTAAATCAGCACGGTCTGATAAAAATGAATGGGGAGCCACACATGTAGTTTTTTTAACTTGTCTGGTAGTCACATTAAGAAAGGTAAAAAGAGGGCGCCTGGGTGGCTCAGTGGGTTAAGCCTCTGCCTTCGGCTCAGGTCATGATCTCAGGGTCCTGGGATCGAGTCCCGCATCGGGCTTTCTGCTCAGCAGAGAGCCTGCTTCCCCCTTTCTCTCTGCCTGCTTCTCTGCCTACTTGTGATTTCTCTCTCTGTGGGTCTAATAAATAAATAAAATCTTAAAAAAAAAAAAGAAAGGTAAAAAGACATACCTGAGATTAATTTTAATAATATTTAACTTAGCATATGAAAAATATCCATTTCCTCATGTAATCAATATCAAAAATTATTAATGGGATATTTAAATTCTTCTTTTCCACTAAATCTTGGAAATTGATGTGTTTTACACTTCCAGCACACCTCATTTCTGACACTATATGTTCACTGAGATACAGTATTCAATCTGTATTTAGATTTCATAAAACATTCAAAATATTTAATATTTCACAAGGTGGGCTACCTGGGTGGCACAGTTGTTGAGCAACTAACTGACTCTTATTTTCAGCTCAGGTCATTTTTTTTTTTTTTTTAAAGATTTTATTTATTTATTTGACAGACAGAGATCACAAGTAGGCAGAGAAGCAGGCAGAGAGAGAGGGGGGAAGCAGGCTCCCCGCTGAGCAGAGAGCCCCATGCGGGGCTCCATCCCAGGACGCTGGGATCACGACCTGAGCCGAAAGCAGAGGCTTTAACCCACTGAGCCACCCAGGCGCCCCCCTTTTTTTTTTTTTTTTTTTTGAGGCTCATTTCCTTTATTACTCTCTTTTAAATTTAGGTTTTCTAAAGCTACATCTAAAGGCATAATATCTACACAGCCCATAGCACCAAAATCTGCCATCTCCCCCCGTTCATCCTCGTCGGAGGACGAGCTCTCTTCGCGCACTAAAGTGGACAGAAGGAGCTCTTGGACAAACAGGCTGCGGTCTGCGCGCTCACTTTCCATGGACTGGCGCTCTGTTTCTGACATTTTAGGATCATTCAACCTTGTTAAAAGAAACTGGGAATTCTGTATAGTTTGCTGACTGCTTTCTGTGTTAGCCGTGTTGGTTGTTGCCGTGGATTGTGTGATTGTAGTGGTGACACTGCTCGTGTTAGTACGCCGAGTTGCGTTGCGTGCGGTCTCCAGCTGTTGCCGCGCTGCCTGGGCGTGCTGCCGTTCCAGCTGCAGCTGCATCTGCAGTTGTTGTAACTGAGAGGCGAAGGGCCGGAAGAATTAAGCTGTCCTCCTGCAGAACGTCTCACTCCTGATAACTGAGATAAAAGCTCAGCTATAGGATCCATGGCTTCCCTATTGCTTGGAGAATATGAACTCTGAGAAGAAGAAAGTCCACCAGTAGAACTGCTAGTAAAGTGCATGTTTGATCTACGAGCACGAGGACCTCCTAATCCCCGACCAGGGTGAAACATTCTACGTACATGTCGAACACCACTCGATTCATCTAAGTCTCTAGGGGCTCTGTGTTCAAGCGTAAGATGAGCTGCAAAGTCATCCGTGACATGATTGGGATCGCCTCCAGGTAATGCTGCACATATTGGACAAATCACTTCTGTTGATGTTTCTGCATGTTCAGAAGTAACATGTTCTTGAAGAGATGTCTCCGTATAGCCCATTTTTCCACAATAGGGACAAGTAAAAGACTGTGGCTGCTCTACAGAGAAAGCTTCCCCACCATAGTATAAATCAAAATCTACTCTTGTTAATATGCACTGCATCGGGTGGTCAGTTGTATGCCTTGCTGTTGTTGCACCACTTTCATAACAAGATGCACAAAGATCGTAATCGTAGCAAATTAAACACTTATATCTGCGACCTCGAAAATTTCCTTTTAAACATGCATCACAGCTGACACCTTCACCCCCACCTTGGGCTCCACACTCAGCAACAGGGTCTGCTGAAGACTCTCTCTCCCTTTCCCTCTGCCCCTCCCCCTGCTCTCTAAAATAAACAAATAAATAAATAAGTCTTATTAAAAAATATTTCACAAGATTGTTTTAATTAAAGTTTAACACACTAACATAAGAGGAAAATAAAGGGAGAAGGTGGCTGAAAGTTACAGTTTGATCTTGTTCCTAAGACTGTAGGAATACATTTTGGAGTGGTTTGCAGTAATCTTAAAGTGCTTTGTAACATTCAAAGTGGGAGTTGAACAGAAGAATTTTTATTTTACATGGACTCCTTAACATCTCTGTGAGTTTTTCAGGTTGGAATACTTCAGATTTCTTCAACAAGAACCAGTTTTCCTACACATCTCCCACATCCCTCCCAGCTCCTCCAACTCATTTGATCCTTTTAGCTTCCCACTGCAGTCTTAAAATGCTAGTTGCAGCTAAAATACTATTCTGTATCTATTTGCTATTTTGTTGTTATGAAATTACATTGAAGCATTATTCCATTTCAAATTCAGAATAACCTGGGAGGAAGGGCAGATATGGTTATTTCCAGCTGTTATGTAAGAAATGGAAGCCTACCAAAAAATTCACCTGCCTAAAGATATCTAATTTAGCCAAATTTCCATGTCCTTTGATAATAAACCCATTCATTTTTCCCTCCATCCATTCACCCATAATCATTCTCCAAAGGATCTGAGATCACTGTTTTCCAACCTTACACTCTTCTCTACACTATACTGCTAATAAAAATACCCTGTTCCCATCCATATAGTATCTTTATAGTACTAGGCTATTAGTTACAGTGACCTATTACAATTTCCTTCTGGTAGATACGGATGAATTTCGTTCTATATTGAATGAGTGTATCAAAACCTTTTACAGGATGTAAAAAAAAAATGCAGCTTGTCCTAGTTACTGTGGCAAATTTTCTCCCTGTGTTTTAGTTCAGTATGAACGTCTGAGTGCATTTACATTATGCTTAGCAGCAGATTAAAAACACTGGTTTCTATTCAATATATAGTTCTTTTTACTCACAAGTAACCCAGATTTATGTAGATCATTGTTTAATAGGTCATCCCTCTATATTTACTTCCATTTTAGGGCAGTGAATCACATATTTTAAATTAAATTTCTGTTACCCTGACTTACATGTAAACTATGGAACACAACTCTTAATAATTTTGAGACTAAATCCTGCCAATGTCATTACTGAAGAGATAAGGGCTCATTGAGCATCTGTTCATAACTGACATATGAGACAGGTGGCATTGGGAAAAGACCCCTGGATAAAGAAAGATAATGCATGCGACAGTCATCTGAAAACTATAAAGTGCTGGCCAGACACATTTGAACACCATTCTTAAGAGGAGATGGCCCTGTATAAGGGAAGTGGGCTGGGAATCAAATGATCTGATCTTGGTTGATACGTCTAACTTCTTTGAGCCTCAGTTTCTGTCTGTTCTACCTGTATTTTTTTTTCTACATTAATGTGTGATAGAAATGACTTTAAGTCCCCACGGTCCTGTAAATCACTTGGAAGCTTCAGTTTTATTATTTTTTAAGGGGCTTTATTCTCTGGGTATTTGTTTTTGTGTTTTGTTTTTTTTTGAAAAGATGAATTGGACTTCAGTCAAAACTAAAAACTTTCATGCTGCAAATGGTACTACAAAGGAAGTGAAAAGACAACATTTGGGTTATGAAAAATATTTGCAAATCATATCCAGAATGTATGAATAACTCTTAAAACTCAATAATAAAAAAAGATAACTCAATTTAAAAATGGGCAAAGGATTTGAAAGGTATTCCTTCAAAAATGATGCACAAGTGGCAAATAAAACACATGAAAAATCTTCATGCCATAAGGAAAATGCAAATCAGAACCTTCATACCCACTAGGATGGGTATGTAAAAAACCCAGATAATAGCAAATTGCCAGATATGCAGAGAAATTGGAGTCCTCATATGTTGCTAGTGGGGATATGAAATATCCCCATATGAAATGGTGTGGCCACTTTGGAAAACAGTTTGGTAATTCCTCAAAAGATTAATCATAGAGATGTAATATTACCCAGCAATTCTGCTAGCTATACACCCCAAATAAATCAATGAATATGTCCACAAAAACTTGTACATGAATGTTCATAGTAGTATTGTTCAAAATAGCCAAAAGTGGAAACAACCCAAATGTTCAGTCAACTGATAAATGGATAAATAAAATGATCTATCCATACAATGCAGTATTACTTGGCAATAAAAAGAGAAAATTCTGACACATGCTGTAACATGGATAAACCTTAAAAGCAAGCCAAATGAAAGAAAAGAATCACAAAAAGCCATGGAGTGTATAATTCCACTTATATAAATGTCTGAGATATCAAATCTATATAGAGAGAAAGTAGAGATCAGTGGTTGCCTAAAACTGGAGCAGTTTGTGGAAGTGGGGCAGGGACTGGGGAGTGACTGTTAATAGTTACAAAGTCTCTTTTTGAAGTAATGATAATGTTCTAAAAAAGATTGTGGTGTTAGCTGCCCAGTTCTGTAAATATACTAAAAATAGCTGAATTATGTACTTTAAAGAAACGAATTACATTGCTTTGAATTATGTCTCATTAAAACCGCCCAGACAGGGCATGGCCTGGGGGGCCAGGGACCTTCCCCATTTCTCAGAGGTCCCTCCCATCTTCTGGGCTGGGGATGGTGGAGGGGAAATTTGTTGGAAATAAACTTCACTCTGTGGAGAAAAAAAACCAGCTTCTGCACATGAGCTAGATCAGAATAGACTGAATTCTACTGATTTGGAGACCATCAGGCACAGTTTATGAAACTAAACCTTTTTTCTCAGAAAAGCTGAACTTTGGGGAGGAGGGCACAGGGAAAAAAAAAAAAAAAAGAGTTAAAAAGAGATTCCAAATAGCTCAAACAGCCAGGCAAGAGGATTGCCTTGGAGGAAGTACATGGAATTAAGAATTAAGGTGCTTAATGGCTGAAGGGGATGAGGGAGAGAAGTGTAAAATGGGGATGAATATTTGCAAAATAAGCTCCCCAAGACTCTTGAAACTAGGTTTCCAGAAGGAAGAGAAATGAATCCTTTGCCTTGGAGAATGTGGCACAAAGCCTGAGAGAAAGAAACATGCGAAGCGAGGAGGAGAGCGTTTTCTGCTCACACATTGGGTGCGTCTTCTGGGTCCGTTTCTGTCTAGATTTGCATGTAGATTGGTAAGGCCATCTCTGTGGCCTCTTCACAAAGACAGGGGCTTCTCTGGAAGGGGGGTGCTCTGAGAAAATTCCTGGGGAGACTCGTTGACACAATAGTCATAAATACACTCAAGAAACTGCATTTCATCAGCCACACTCTGAGCACCCGGGTACAAACTATGGATAGATGTTGTGCAAATATCTGGCAGAAATACGGACTTTCCTTACTTTTCGGCGTATCTGTGGCTTTTTGATACTGTAAACAACTGACACAGCCACAGAGGAGTAGTGTATCTGAAATTGTTTACACAAAAGAATTCCATCTGTCAGTCTGTTTAGTTTACAAGTGAATGGGCAAAACCTTCATCATGAGGGACCCAGCAAAAAAAACAAAAAAAAACAAAAAACAAAAAAACAAAAAAAAACAAAACAAACCCAAAAAACTGAGGCATGCTGCAAATAATTGTTAATAATTGTTTCAACAGAGTGTATTGAGAGCCACCCCCGAAGAGTCATTTGCTTAGAAATTATGCTCCTTGATGATTCTGTGGCAATTCATTGTTCTTTAAAGCCAAAGACGGGAAAATCTGGGCTTAGATTCGGTGTCTTTACATTCAAGTTGTGCAGACCTCTTCAAAGCTGGGCAAGAGAATTGGACCAGAAAAGTGTTTTCACTAGAAGCAAGATCAGGGGCTGACGCTGGTACCACAGAGGATGCCCTTTTTAAGAATACTGAAGTATCTTCATCATCAAATATATTATGGATCCCTGGCTAAAGGAGCCCTGCTTAACTTGTCCTTTTCTCCTTCTTTTTAGTTCTGTCGGAGTAACATTTTACTAAGAATTTGCAGACCTTCTCCGCTGTCGTCTGCACACTGCATTGGGTTCATCCAGTAGACATGCCTGGGACCAGGGAGGGAGGCACAGAGAAAACACTAACAGAACTGTAGAGGTTCTTGTGCCATGACCTGATAATGTCATCCAAGTTTTCTTTTTTTCTTTTTTTTTTTTTTTTTAAAGATTCTATTCATCTATTTGAGAGAGAGAGAGAGCATGAAAGGAGAGAGGTCAGTGGGAGAAGCAGACGTCCTGCCGAGCAGGGAGCCCGATGTGGGACTCAATCCCAGGACTCCAGGATCATGACCCAAGCCAAAGGCAGTCGCTCAACCAACTGAGCCACCCAGGTGCCCCCAAGTTTTCCTTTTGAAGAATGTGTCCTTTTGAGCTGTTTTGTAGTTGCTAAATGTGGAGTGTCATGAATTTGAACTTCATTGATACAGATTGTTTTTTTTTAAATTAGGGCTTTTGGTGAATGATATTTACAGGCTTTCAATTTTTTTTAAGTATTTTTTTTAAAGATTTTATTTATTTATTTGACAGACAGAGACCACAAGTAGGCAGAGAAGCAGAGAGAGAGGGGGAAGCAGGTTCCCCGCCGAGCAGAGAGCCTGATGCAGGGCTCGATCCCAGGACCCTGAGATCATGACCTGAGCCGAAGGCAGAGGCTTAACCCACTGAGCCACCCAGGCGCCCCCAGGCTTTCAATTTTTAAAATTTGTTTGAAAGGATGAATGTATCATCTCAGTCATAGTTCCTAATCAGAATCATTTGAGCTCGGGAAAAAAAAATGTCATCACAGAAGAGATCTTGCCTGAGAAATGAAACACAGGGACAGAGCTGCCTTCAAATCACCTCATTAGAGGTTAAGAATTACTTATCTCTACATATCCTATCATATGTATCAGTGTGTCTTTTGTTTTTCCTTTGGCTTTTCTGG